TCCACCTGTCCTGAGTCGATCCGTCTTGTCTTGAGTCCACCCGTCCTGAGTCGATCCGTCTTGTCTTGAATCCACCTGTCCTGAGTCGATCCGTCTTGAGTCCACCTGTCCTGAGTCGATCCGTCTTGTCTTGAATCCACCTGTCCTGAGTCGATCCGTCTTGTCTTGAGTCCATTCGGCCCATATTGATCCGCCTTGCCTTGAGTCCATTCATCTGTTCAGGGCACCGAGGCAGCCACGGCAGGGCAGCTAACGACGCTCGGGAACGAGGGGGAGCATTTTGGGAGGGATTAATAGCAATGTGTCTTTTACTGTAATAATTTTTTAATTTAAATATTTGCTGTATTTTTTATCATAGCTTGTAAATAATCTCAATTTGTTACTTAATTTGTTTCAGGAGGCTGCATTTGCTGGTTAACCTTATCAAAATGGGTATTGTTTCGGGACTGGGAACAGATTAATTCACTTTCCATTATTTCTAATGGGGAAACCTGACTGGACGGCAGACGATTCAGAGTCCACACGGCCTCCTGAAGCGAACTAAGTTTGAAGTACGAGTCTCCGCTTGAATCATCCCGAAACCACCCCCAGCCCCACTCCGTGGAAAAATGGCCTCCTGTGAACGCGGTGGTCCCAAAGAGGCCGGGCCAGTTTTGCAGATGGGACCCACTCCTGTTTCTGGCCATGCTTGCTAAAAGTGGCCAGAGAAGGGGGACTGGCTTGCCTGGGGCTAATTGGTGTTACAGCAAGCTGGTAGATGGGGGTTGTAGTCCTCACACATCTCGACGGCGCAAGGCCGGCTTGGGCTTGCCTCGCGAACTGTGGGGTACTCCTCCTGGTTCGGTGCCTTGGTGGGATTCGGACGGCATCCTTGCATGTGCCTCGCCTCGCCCCCCACCCCCCGAGGCCGGTGCAAACACTTTGCCGCTGTCACCCCCCCCCCCGGCTCCCCGCCATCCTTCCTGCAGCCCACAAGCACGCCACCAGGGTGGCCAGTCCCCAGAGGGTGAAGGCCCCGCTGGTCCAGCACGAGATCACGGCCCGCTTGACGCCGCAGATGGGCAACCCCGGCAAGCCACAGCCCGCCTTGATCGTGAGCAGGAGCCAGAGCCCGCTGCCCCCGGTGGAGTGGATGGCCCTCCCGTCCCATGGCCTCGGCGCCGGGTGGAAAATTCTGCCCTCGGCACCACCGGACAACAGCAGCTGTCGTGGTGGCAGGAAAGCGCCCAGCCTGCCGGTTTCTGAGGACCAGTCGGAACCCAGGCGGCCCCCTTCGTTCAGGTAAGGAGAGGGTGTCTGCAGCAGTGGGCAGGACTGGTCCCTTCTCAGCCACTTGGCAGCTTTCAAAGTCACATTTCCGACAAAATTGCTCATTCTCACTGGAATGGTGTAACCCTTAAATGTGTGAGAAGGCAGTGGCATCCTTTCTTTGAGAAAGAAAGCCCTATTGATGGACCCTCCCCATTCAGAGGCAGTCTATCCCCAAATAATGGCATGCTTTAAAAGAAGCCTTAGCAATGCTTCCTCCCTTGCACATCAGTGTTTGCTGATTCAAATCCTCTTGTAAGATAGTGATAGCCGGAGGGGGGCTGTGTTTAATAGTAAGGCCGGCCGGCTGGATTGCACGTCCACGGGACAACCCGGTCGGCCTGAGGGCCTCCTGCAGTTTGATCCCCCTCTTAACAGGCTAACATGCCTCTCCAGTGCTTTTTTTGTACGAAAAGTGCCGGAACTCATGAAATTATTTACTTTTCGCACGGAGTCAATCACTGTACGCACACCCACACACATCAGTTGTGTAACAAAACATCACAGTCGCCACCCGCAGTAAGCACTCGGCATGCGACCACACGACCCGTCGCAAGCCGAGCGGCACCATCACAACCAGTGTGAAGTTCGCGTGCATCGGATTCGACACACAGGCAGCCCGCATGCACCGTTTTAATGACGTTGCCGCCGACCCGCCACGCTCGACAGGGCGATCCGAATCCATGTGGCCCAAACATCAAATTTTCAACAGTTCCTTTTAAAACTCGGAAAACCTGTTGAAAAAAGGTGCCAGAACTCCGTTCCGGTGCGTTCTATGACAAAAAAAGCACTGTGCCTCTCAGGGTCCCAGCTCAAGCTAGTACAGTGCAGGGCGATTGCCGCTTGTGCGTTGTCACCCCCCCTTTCGCCCCGGCCACCGTTGCGCACTGCTCTGAGCCCCTCCCGTGCGGGATGAAGGGGGTGTGAGAAGGCCAAGTGCGACCCTGGGCCCGCCAGCGATCGTTGCCCCCACCGGCCTTCTGCCTCCGGCTTTTCCCGCTTTCAGGGCGAGGGAGCGGCCGGCTACTCCGTCCCGAGGTGTGCCAACCGCTGGAGGGAGGCCTGCATCCAAGCAAACCGTCTCTGCCGTGGAAGGGAGCGGAAGGGAGACCCTCCGCACCTGGCGCCCCTCCCAGCCCAGCGGAAGTGCAGAGCGCAACTCGCAGGGAGCCACAGGCCTCCTGGGGCCATGGTGTGGTGGGGCGGCCGACTGCATCCGGAGGACCCCGCCTTCGCCAGCAGAGGCAGCTCAGAGGCTGGCACCCTCCGGAAGAGTGGGGCAGAGGGACAGAGGCTCTCAGCCGCCAGAGAGTGTCCAGCAAGAGGGCAAGTGCTGCCCAAGCAGGCGTCCTCCCACTCCGGCCAAGGCCGCCCAGGCCGCCCATCACCTGCCGGCAAGGGCCCGGGCAGGAAGCCCAGCGAGGCCGCAAGGAAGGCCCGGTGGGGCGAAGGCCCCGACGGAGCTGCGCCCGCCTTCCCCGGGCCAGGGGTGCACAGGGGAGAGCAGCAGTAAGACCTTGGCTTTCTGTCGGCCCCCGACCCCTGTGAGGCGCTCTCAGGAGGCCTCTAATTGTAGACATGGGGGGAGTGCCTCGGCCAAAGACCAGGCCCCCTCGCCAAGCAGAGCAGGCGCGCTCAGGGACGGGCTGGGCCACGAGAAGGCCTGGGGGAAGGCAGGCAGTGAGCAGGCTCCTCGTCGCAGGTTCTTTGGCCACTGCGGTCGGTTTGGCTGGGGGCAGAAAGTGAGGGAAGGTCGGGCCTTTGCGGGGCAGGGGGTTGCCCCAGGACAGGCCGGGGGAAATCGTCCACAGAGTCTTGGGGACACCCACGGCGTTCTTCTGGAAAAGGAGCAGCTCTACACGCCCCCGCCCATGAACTTCGCCGAAGAACAAGCCTTGTATCGGAGTCTGGAGGATGAGATTCTGTCCAACATCAGGGAACTGGAGTCTGACTCGGACAGCATCCCTGGCGACTTAGAAAGCGATATCCTGGCCTCAGGCGGTGACAGCCCCCGGGCGGCCTCGCTGACCTCACCCTTCCGGCAGAGCGCGGAGGGAACCTTGGCCCACAGCGAGGCTGTTCCCCGGAGCGGAGTGTATGTGCCAGGCAGAGCGACCAGCTGGCACCCAGCTGACCTGCGCTACGACCAGGTGATCCGAGAACTCTCTGTGGCCTTGCATCGCGAGCACCGGGAGAAGGAGGGAAGTGCACCTCAGGTGAACTCATCCCTGGAGAATGGAAGCCAGGCTCCAAATACCGTTCTGGAGCAAGAAGATGCGCATCGAGTGAAGCCTGTGGCCCCTGAAGGCGCCTGCACTGAGCCATCTGGCGCAACGTGTGGAGAACCTGCGGAGGTCAGCGGGAACGGTGATGCCTCCCAAGCAACCCCCGGAGAAACCTCTCTTTCGGAGAGTTCCTCCACCCCGGACACGGCAGGGCTTCCTCCGGATAAGCCAAGGAGGTCTCTGAAGCAGCCGGAGCGTGTGCCGTCCATCTACAAGCTGAAGTGGCGGCCCCGGATCCGGCCCCGCAGGGATAACAGGCCTGGAAAGAGGCCCTCGAAGATTCCCAAGCCGGTGACCCACCGGCTCGCTCCGAGAAAATCCAGCACCCAAAGCCAGGGGAAGTGCCACGGTGCCGAAGACCATGCCAAGGGGAGTGTGGCTGACACGAAGCAGGAGGACACGGGGATCCCCGCACCTGAAAGACTTTCGGGGTGCAGCCCGTCCTCCATGCAGCGTGGGGAGACGTCCCCGTGGGAGGGGGAACTGGGGGCTTCCGATCAGGGGCCATCCTGGGTGTGACGCATTGCTTGACGGGCCCTTCTTCAGTCTTTGCAACCCACAGCCGCACTCTCTGTTATGGGGTGTGTCAAGGAGATTCACACCATGTGAGTTTGCCACTAGCTGCAAGATACCCCGAAGGAAGGGGTGTGGGGGGGTGGCACCCTCCCTGTAGTTCACTCATTTTCCTAAACGCTCAGCTGAAACAGAGCCCTGTGTTTTGCTTCACATCATGAGGTCTAGAAACTTTTTGCACAATCCAGCTCAGGTTCTCAGGCTCCTGTGTGGCTGAACCATACCTCAGGGGCTTGATTGATGCTCCAGGTGTCCCACTAGTGTCAAAGCGGGCCGAGAAAGTGTCTACTGATTTGTTGTGTTTGTGTTTTGCCGGAAAAAGAACTCCTTCAGGGAAGAAGCCACAACTTGGATGAAGACAAGTGTGGGTGCACATCTGCTTGTTGTGTTGTGATGCTCTACGACGGCCATTCTGAAAGGCGCCCCCACTGACATCAAGGGGCTTACTCACAGGTCATTGTGTTCTACTGGTTAGCAGCCCAAGTGAAGGTGGGGGTTGTGCCTGGTTTTGTGGCTACACTAAACTTGCAGTGACTCACTGGTGGTGGCACCATTCTGTCTTCACGAACCAGTATCAGATACCTTCCAGGCCGCCGAGCAAGGCTCAGAGCATGCCAGGGGGCAAATGGGCTCACAGCTTCATAATTCTGGCCCTGTGTGACCTACAGCAAGAAAAAATGCTTTTGTCTCCAGTGGTTTGGTGGCGAGAATTAACAGAATTTGATGACCAAGGTCCCATTTGGATGCCAGGAAGCACTTCCTGACAGTTAGGACCCTGAGGGTGTGGAATGGGCTTCCACGGGAGGTGGCTGAGGCCCCACCGGTGAGGGTGTTCAAGGACAGGCTGGACGTGCACATGGTGGGCTTGTCATGAGCGGAGCTGGCTGGAGCCAGGGGTCAGACTAGATGGCCCGGGAGGCCCCTTCTGACTTGCTCTGTATCTATGTTTCTATGACGTGCTGTAAAGGAAGAACGGTTTAAGATGCCGTCCATCGCTGGCGATGGCAGTCTGTGTGACACAGCCCACCTTCCATCCAACAGGTATGAGATGACTTTCAAAGGAGATGAGACATATTCGCGGCAGATGAGGTCAGCCATCCTTGGCTTGCAGCTTTGCAGGTGGCACGGAGAAAAAGCATGTAGCTCTCCATCTTTATGCACCCCACGTCCTCTGATAGCCTGATCTGGGTAGGGGTGAACCACGTGTGGAAGCCACCCTTCGATTGCTGCCTTTGGTTTTCATTCTGAATCTTCCCTCCTTTATCCCTCTCATTTTCCAGAGAAGTTTAGCCACCAGAGCTGCAGCTGTTGCAGCTGGGACTGACCCCTGGATAAAGGTTCCTGGTGCAGGGTACAAATTTCTGGAGAGACGCATGTCTCTTAGCTAGGTGGGGATTTCAGACCTGGATGAGTTGGTGATCATTTGGGGTAACAAAGGACCTAGGATTTTTTTGTAGGGTTAGCAGGGAAATGGCACAGTCTCCTTCACGGCTCCTTTGCAACTTTGTACGATGGTAGGCGTGTCATGAGCAGGGCCGGCTGGAGCCAGGGGTCAGACTAGATGGCCCAGGAG